TCTATCTTTTCCTTCGACATAAGAAAGATTTTCATTTTTTTATTTATTTATTTTTTCAATTTTTATATTTTAATTTCTTTGTTTTCATCTAACTTACGATGATTTTATTTATTCTGTTTTTTATTTTCACTCGACTTAAAAGAAATTCTTTTCCTTTGTTTCTGTTTTTGCTTTCTTTTCACTCGACTTAAGAATGCATAGCATTTCTTTCTTTCTTTTTCTGATTCACTACCCGGTTACACTACCCGCTTACCTTCCACAGCATAGCCGGTACAATATGAAACTTTGATCTTAAAAACCAAAAAAAAAAAAAAAATAGGAAAAAGGAAAGGACAAAGCAAGAAACCAAGAGACTGAAAGAAAGCCCCATAGATCGGTAGACACTACACACTCAATTATATCGCTGTTTACGTCATAAAATGGCGGGATGAATGCTAGTGAGAACATTACAAGACATTTGCTGAAGAACACCCGGGGAAAAGAAAGACATAGGCGCAAACTGAATAGGACTCTTGCGCCTTTATTACTTTGAAGGAAAAAAATATTTTCCCCAAGTCATACTTTATGAATTTTGAAAATTCTCCCCAGCAGGAAAAACTCCTTTGAAGAGGAGATGCCAAGCGTGCATATAGATTATCATTAGCTTATTCTTGATGAATAAGCGATTCGATGTCACCTTATTGCACTTGTCAATTATTAATTTATAAATGAGTTTTAATTTTAATTAAGTGAAATCGATTTAAAAAAAAAAAAGGAAGAAATGTTCCTAAAATAAGTGGAAATAAAAAAAGAAAGAAATGAAACGTTTTCCTATCTCGAATGAAAAGAAAAGAAAGAAGTGGAAAAAAAAAGCTTTTCTATCTAATAAGAAAGAAAGTTTTCCTCGCGCAAATTGTAAGCAAAAAAGAAGAAAGCAAAAAGAAGGGGGAAATTATATTTTCCCAAAAGAAAGAAAGAAAGAAAGAAAGAAAGAAAGAAAGAAAGAAAGAAAAGAAATGCTTTCATAAATGAAACGACAGAAAGCTTTCCCAACTCATGTTTTAAGAGAAAGAAAGAAAAAAGAAAGACAGAAATGAAAGGTTTTCCTAAATGAAAAGAAAGGAACAAACTTTCTTAAGGGAAAAGAAAGAAACAAACAAACAAAGTGAGAAAAAAAAGGAAGAAATTAAAAGCTTTCATAATAAAGAAATAAAGAAAGAAACAGAGAGAGAGAATGGGAGAAAAATAACGATGAAAAGCTTCTACAAGTGAAAATAAAAAAGAAAGGGAACACTTTTTAAGTGATAAGAAAGAAAAAAGAAAGAGAAAGAAATTAAAAGTTTTTCCAGGGGAAAAGAAAGAAAGAAAGAAAGAAAGAAAGACAGAATGAAATGAGAAGCTATTTTAAGAGAAAAGAAAGAAAGAAAGAAAGAAAGAAAGAGAGTGAGAATAAGAGAAAGAAAAAGAAATGAAAAATTTTTCCAAGTGAAAAAAAAGAAAGAAAAGGAACGCTTTTCTAAGTGAAAAGAAACAAAGCACATTTTTTTTTTGTCAAAAAATACAAAAGAAAGAAAGAAATGAAAATATTTTCAAAATCAAATAAAAAAAGAAAGAAAACTGATTAAAAAAAGAAAGAAAAACTGAAAAAAAGAAAGAAATTAACATGAATGTGCCCTTTAGCTTGTGTCGTTGAAAATTTGCTCAAAATTCATTAAGGACATTTCTGTTAATTGGAGAATATCGATTGTTTTTCGATCAGCGAATTCAGGAAAGGAATTCCAAAAATCCTTGCAACATATATACATGTAAACCGAATTTCTGAGGTGCGGTGAGGTTACAATTACACATTGATTCGTTTGAACTAATTTCCCAGTCTTTGTCTTTATTTATTTGGTCGTGTTTCAGCTCATACACTCTTCGGCCTTCCTCAGGTACCCAGCTGTCTGTCTGTTTGGTAACCAAGTGTTCCACATTCCAGGAAAGCTTGTTTGACGAACGCCTCTAAAGATGATCTATATCTCCACTAATATTATATTATTATACAAAATGTGACAAAATACCCCCCCCCCGCGCTAGAAATACACCCCAGAAATAATTCCCAGAAATACCTTCCACAGTAAGACAGTAAGAGTTATTTCTGTAGTGTGGGGTATATGTGGGAGGTATTTCTGCCGTATCCTGTATCTCAAATTTTGCACAGGCGGATAAAAATTATAAGGTTTCGGTAATTTTGAGACATTCTTTTAAGCCTGGTCTCAAAAGAGTTGAAGATGCCCCTAGAATTTCGGAAATGGAAGGAACTGAAACAATATCTCACAGTTTTTTTTTTAATGCATGCTTAGGCGATCATGTATCTTTTGATACATGACTGACGAGACAGATTTTTCCCGCAGCAAGGTTGCCATTACTTTCTGTGGTAGACCAGTTGCCATCCAAGGCTATACAACCGGGTCTGTCCTGCTATTTACCCATAACTGGGACGGAGAAGAAGAGGATTCATACCTTTCCCAAGGGTATTAGCATGTAAGTGAATGTAATGGATTCGACTGGAATTCGAACTTGGCTCTCCGATTCCTCAATCTGAGCTGCTATCCATTACTCCACACTGTGCTTAAATTCATAAAGTTTTCGTACCATAGTAAAGAACTCATCTGAACAATTACCATGAAAGCATTTATAGAAAAGGAACAGGGAAGATACTTTAAGTTGGCGAGAAAGTGACTGAAGCTGAGATGCCAGGTCAGGACCAATAATATTGCTGATACTTCTTGGATTTTATCAAGAATCTCTAAATATATAGCAGGAGCCCCAGATCATACATGGCAGCAATATCCGAAGTATGGACGAATAGTAGACTTAGAGATATGTAAGATAGATTCTTGAGAGAAAAATGGTAAACTAACGTTCTGTCTGGAATTCGAAGTCGGCTCTCCGATTCCTCATTCCGAGCCGCTATCCATTACTCCACCGTACTGCCCCAAATCATTTTAAGCCTTTTGTCTGTGGCAGACAAAAGGTTTCGGTGAAATGTTACTTGGCGTTTTCATCATGATTTGCAGAAATGTGTTAGATCTGGAATCGAAATCACCTTACCAAATTTGTTTGTCAAAACTCTTAACCATAAGACTAGCTACTGTGTATTTTCAGAGAGAGAGAGAGAGAGAGAATGGGGAGATGATCTCGTATGGTATTTACGAAATCGAAGTGTTTCCAGTTGAAACAAATGGTCAGCATTTTCACCTAGGTTAAAGCTAAGTTTTTTAATGCTGATTTGAAAATTAGACCTTTCTTACCACAACACCGCAATTTTCTTCCCTCACACATATATCCCAGTTGATAGACCAACGTAGGTTTAGTAAATATTTAAACAAGAACAAAACAGACGACAGCAGCAGCAGCAGCAGAAGAAGAAGAAGAAGAAGAAGAAGAAGAAGAAGAAGGGTGATATAAATAAAACAATGGAATGAGAAGAAGGTCAGAACATTAGAGAAGGGATGATTAGAGAAAAATAAAAGAGATGAGAAAAAAACAATACAGAAAGAGAGAGAGAGAGAGAGAAGAAAGAAAAAAGACAACGAAAAAAAAAGGAAATTAAAAAAGGAGAAATGAAAGAGACGTAAATGCATACCGAAAAACAGAGTACAGAAAGAAAAAGAAAAAAAAGGAGAAGAGAAAAGGCGACAAAAAATCTGAGAAAAAAGGAAACAAGAGAGAAAAAGTGGGTAGAAAGACAAAAAAAAATGAGAATGAAGATGAGAGACAGGAAAATAGAGACTAGACGGGAGACAGTAAAATAGAGAGTAGAAAGGTGACAGGAAAATAGAGGTGATGAGAGAGATAGCAAAACAGAGAATAACGAAAAGAAACAGGAAAATAGAGACTAGAAGGGAGACAGTAAAATAGAGAATAGAAGGGAGACAGTAAAATAGAGAGTAGAAAGGTGACAGGAAAATAGAGGTGATGAGAGAGATAGCAAAACAGAGAATAACGAAAAGAGACAGCTAAATAGAGATAATAAGAGAGACAACAATATAGAGAATGAAGAAGAGAGACAACAAAAGAAAAATAATAAGAGACTTGTTTCCCTGATAGCTATAATCTCCAACTATTCAAATATAATGTCAATCGACGTCTCCAGATGCCCTGACCTATTCCCTGTCCTTCTCGTCATCCTTTCCTCCATCACGCCTCTTTACTCTCGCTCCCACTCTGTAACCCCATGCGTACTAGTGGCGTCCCGCCTTGCTTGGTGTGAAATGCTTAAAAAAAAGACAGCAAAATAGAGAATGATGAAAAACACATAAATGTGAGAGAATAGACAGAAAAAGAGGGATGAATTCAGAAGAGACAACAAGAGTGTGAGAATGATTGATTGATTCTTTTTTTTTTTGGCGGGGTGGGGGAGAAAATATTTCAAGATTGTATGACTTTTTTAGTATAATGATTTAGTGATACACGTCTTACTAATAAAACAATAACTGGGAGAAGGGTGTTTATGTATAATTGAATATAATGAACTTAACTGAAATTGGATCTCGACTCGCCGATTAACAATTCCGAGCCATTACTCATTTCACCGTCAGCATATCCAAGCTTACATGGCGTTGTATTCACAAACGGCCACCCAGGCTCGACATTGCTTAAGTTCGGTAATCGTACGTGAACAGGTGTTTCTACGCTATATGGCCGTAAGCCGAGTGAGTATAAAGACAGCAAAAGAGAGAGAATGAAGAAAAGAGTAAAACATAGAATGCAAAAAAGAGACAACAAAAGAGATGGGATGAATGAGAGAGATGGAAAAAGAGAGAGAATGAAGAAGAGAGACATCAAAAGTGAGAGAATTTAGAAGATAGCAAAACATAGAATGCAAGAGAGAGACAACAAAAGAGATAAGGTGAATAAGAGAGGCAGCAAAAGAGAGAGAATGTAGAAAAGAGTAAAACATAGAAGTCAAAAGAGAGACAACAAAAGAGATGGGATGAATAAGAGGGGCGGTAAAAGAGAGAGAATGAAGAAGAGAGTTAGCAAAAGGGAAGAATAAAGAAAAGAGACAGCGAAAGAGTGAGAATGTAGAAGATAGACAGCAAAATATATAATGCAAAAGAAAGAAAGAAAACGGAGGAAATGAATAGGAGAGACAGCAAAAGAGAGAGAATCAAGAAGAGAGGCGGCAAAAGGAAGAGAATGAAGAAGAAAGCAAAATGAGAGAATGAGGAAGAGAGACAGCAAAATATTTGATGCAAAAGAGAGAAAACAAAAGAGATAAAATGATTAACAGAGGGAGTAAAAGAAAAGAACAAAAGAGAGAAAACAAAAGAGAGAAAACCATTAAGAGAGACAGTAAAATAGAGAGAATGAAGAAGCGAGCAAAATATATGATGAAAAAGAGAGAAAACAAAAGAGATAAAATGATTAAGAGAGACAGTAAAAGAGAGAGAGAGAATGAAGAGGCGGGAAAATATATGATGTTGAAGAGAGAAAACAAGAGATAAAATGATTAACAGAGGGAGTAAAAGAAGAGAACAAAAGAGAGAAAACAAAAGAGATAACATGATTAAGGGAGACGGTAAAAGAGAGAGAATGAAGAATATAGTCTGAAAAAGAGAGACATCAAAAGTAGAGAAAAACAAAAGAATAGCCGTGGAAGACGTGGGTAACAGTTAAAAGAAAAAAGAATTTAAACAATGGAATTATGGAAAACTATATATAGAACTGTGTAAAAGCTGTCTCTAAGTTGGTAATTCTTCAGGCGACTTAGAACTTGGAAACAGAACAACTTATGAACATACTATGGGATGGAACTCTAGAGAGTAGAGAATGCACTCATTTTACAGAAAGATAAGGAACGGGATTCCATCAGTGGTCAACATTTTTGGACATTTTATATCTGCCAAGGGCAAAGTACATGTTTCCTTGAAGAAGACAAAATATATCAACAATTAGATTAACAAATTTTATTATCTGTAACTATTTGGGGAAATGTTTCTTCTGGGCTTGTTGAAATTGAATTATTTTTATTTTATCTTCGCTTGTCTTGGAAAAGTAGCTTTTTTTTTTCTTTCTCTGAAATGCTTTGCTTCGTTTATGCCAGATATTCTCTGACATTGAATCCAAAATCTTTCCTTCAGATGAATAATTTTTACGCTGCTGAATTTTTGGAGTGAAGACAAAAAAAGATAAAAGAATATTTTTTAGTTATTTAAATTTTGTAGATAAACACGGAAAGTATTAATTATTAATACGCCATTCTTTCATCTTATTTCTTTGCTTATTTACTCGCCTTTCTTTCATCTTATTTACGCCTAATAATATGTAATAGTCTGAAGACGTCTGACTCTTTTAGCTGAAGCATTGTTATCATTATTATTTATTATGTACACGCCTTTCTTTCATCTTATTTCTTTTGCTTATTTACACCTAATAATATGTAATAGTCTGAAGACGTCTGACTCTTTTAGATGAAGCATTGTTATCATTATCATTAATTATTGACACGCTTTTCTTTCATCTTATTTCTTTTCTTGTTAACACCGAGTAATAATAAAACGTAATAGACTGAATTATCGTCGTATTAGTTAGTCTCTTACCGCTTTTTGGCAAATTAATCTAGGTCCTAATCAACACCGAATTCGTTAAGCAACTACACACGGTCACCTTTCGGACAAATAATACGGTTTCCGTTTCGCAGCGTCTAGCGCCGAATTAACGGCTACCACTGAATTTGTCTATAAACCCTTAGATAAGGATGAAAAGCTGGAGACGTGGCTCTAGATATCTCAAAAGCGCTCGCCAGGGTTTGGCATACTGGCCTTCTCCACAAGGTTTAGGGTGTCAGGAGACGAATATTTGACTTAATCTAATCTCTCCTAACAATTCGTGTAATGAAAGTCGTGTTGAATGGACACGCTTCCAGATCATTTCATACAAACGCGGGTGTCTCCTTAGATCCACGCCGTTTCTTATCCTCATTAAAGACCTCTTCGATATCATCAATTCTCAACTAAGTATTTATGCAGATGGCACAGCTATTTACTCATGTCTTCGTAACAAGTCCGACAGACACGACAAAGTAAAAATGGCAACTGCACTCGAAAAAGAACCCAAATCTGGGATTAACTGTAACAAGAAATAGTTTGTAAATTGTAACACCTCCAAAACAAGACTGCTTTCATTTAATCGCCATAGAGAAACTTTTCGGCCTGTCATCACCATGGCTGATGTTAGACTCCAGGAGGGCAACACTCTACGTCTTCTTGGACTTATATTTTCTACTGACATGAAATGGAGTGACTCCATTGAACCAATTGCTACGTCTACTGCAAGGAAGGTTGGTGCTAGACAATTTTTCTCGTCAGAATCCATCTTGGACATTTATAAATCTACTATTCGTCCGTGCATTGAATTTTGCTGCCATATCTGGTCTCATGCCCCTATTATATATCTCGAGATTCTCGATAAAAGCCAAAGAAGGGTCTGTAATGAAGTTCGTGTTGAATGGACATGCTTCCACATCATTTCCTACAACCGCGGGTGTCTCCTTAGATCTACGCTGATTCTTATCTTCATTAATGTTATGGAGTGATTTCACAGTGGAGGCTTGTATTTGTACTAAGTCGGTCCTAAAATAGGTTCGACGTACCAAACGTTAGGAACTTCATATAATAGGTAATGACGCAGAGAAATCTAGTTGTGGTCGCTGATACTCTTAGTATCCGACTAACGGTCGTCCGGCATCGACTGTTCTGACAGACCCACTGAGCGACCCCTCGTTACTCTTACAACTCCTACTTATTATAGGTGGGAGAGTCTATTAACTATAGAATAGGTGTGTTCCACTATAACAATTAAAGACCTCTTCGATATCATCAATTCCCAATTAAGTATTTATACAGATGACAACTATTTACTCATGTCTTTGTAACAAGTCCGACAAGTAAAAATGGCAACTGCACTCGAAAAAGACCTCAAATCTGGGATTAGCTGTAACGAGAAATAGCTTGTAAATTTTAATGCCTCCAGAATAAAACTGCCGTCCGAGTGGAACTTCCTCTTTACTAATGGAATATAAAAGGAATGAGGATGATTCACCATTGTGCATGTGATATGATGGGTTCAAGTTGCAAAGGCCAGGGCTGGTGGAATCAATGAACGTAGCTTGTCAGAACACATACCATGGAAATAGCGACAGAATAACGAGAAGCTCGCAACGTTTCGTCTGTGGGAGAGTTGTTAGGTGGAAAATAATTCATCACCCACAATTCCGCTATCTGCTTATGTGTTGAAAGTTAATATATATATATATCTATATATTTCATCTCTCTGATAAATATCGCGATCTGTTAAATGTAACATTTGATAAAGTGCGAGCAAATTTTCATTTCGAAAAAATATTTTTTTTATTTTAATTAATTCAAACAGCGATTGGCTAGAAGTTCTCTTTTTAAACCCAATGATTTGATTTACACCCCCTTGATTTGATTTACACCCCCTTGATTTTGATTTACACCCCGTGATTTGATTTACACCCCGTGATTTGATTTACACCCCGTGATTTGATTTACACCCCCGTCTTTTTTATTATTATTATTATTATTATTATTATTATTTACACCCCGTGATTTGATTTACACCCCAGGATTTGATTTACACCCCATGATTTGATTTACACCCCGCGATTTGATTTACACCCCATGATTTGATTTACACCCCGTGGTTCTACTGCGCTCGACAAGATTTCTAAGCTTATTCTATATTTTTACTTTTGGTAGTTTTCTTTTACGTGACGCTTGCCATATCGGATATATATACGCAGGTCTACTTTTTGTACAGGTTTTGATTCTTTTTCTTCTATGTGCCATGTCACTTCATGACGTTGGCGATCAGAAATACCTTCCACATAATCATAAGCCATTAGTGGCATTTTTTTTTTTTTTTTTTTACAGTGGTGTTCAATCCCCTAGATTCATTTGAGGTAGATACTTACAGAGTAACAGGTACAACTTATGCGGATATGTGTGGAAGATAATGGTTAAATCTAGAATTGAACAAGTCAATATTGTAGTGATCGGAGGGAAAATCTCTTGGGAGTTGGTTCGGGAAGAAGCTGCAATAGAACAGTGAGAAGCTTATGACGTCTCGTCTGTGAGAAAGGGCTCGCAAAGTGGGAAATAATTCGTCGACTACAAGAACCATTTTTCCAGCATTTTTTGACTTGATTCTTTTAATCGATCCTACTGTGAATTTGTAGTGAAAGCGAAACAATAATAACTCCCTTCGCCCACTTCCTTCAAATAGGAGGATTGGGGAAGAAGAAGGAAAGAAATTCGCGATCCTATGTGAAATTGTTTTTGGACCAATGAAAAGCTTACCTTCACAGAAATTAGCCGGTCGGCCAAGAAGAAAGAAAAATATATTCTCAAGTCTACGCAAAATTCCTTTTGATATAAAATGAAGAGAAAAAATTAAATTAATCAGAGAAAAGTGTCTGAAATCATGTGAAAGGTTTCGTTTCAGTTTCTTGCAACCAGCGTTGAAGTTCTCGCCAGTGTAAAATTACTCGCTAATTATATTATCAACATTTAACCAGCACGCAGTACTTCAAAGAAAATTTCGCTCAATACTCCAAGAAGTAAGTATTTCAAACTATCTCTCTTCGTCTACTTATAAATTCGTGAATAAATTCCTTATTTTGTTTTGCTAAAATTACCCGTCTGTTTCTTCATCATTGTCACCCTTCATTAATCTTCTGGGCATCGGTAAATCAACTGTTCATTTTAACCCCAAAGCTCCATACCGCAAGACATTCAACGTCTTATTTTGCGGAAGGAATGGTTAATACACAATACCCTTCCAATCTCACTAGATGAACCAGCATCACCTTCTGAGGCAGACCGGCTTTTCGTTTACACTAAGCTTTATCGTTGCACACTGTTGTAAACAATACATTTTTCATCGCCTTTGATTGTTCTTTTGACCGTTTTGTTGCGTTTGAGCAGAAAATCACAGACAGAAAGGCGGTCCATTAATTTGTTGCCGTTAAATTGTGAGCCATCCAGACATCGTTGTGATTTATGTATCTAAGTGTCTTCAAATACCTTACAACGGTTAAATGGTAATGTTAGCCGTTTACTTACAAGGAAACATTTGGTCTCATTTGGTCTCGAACAGCTAATTCAACTCGAGTTGTGCTTTCCTTCGAGCCGGGACAAAAATGTAGTAACTGTTTTCCACATCTCATTGCAATGGTAATATTACCAGTTACCTTATGTCATCCTAGGTCATCTTGCTTGGCTTAGTGTTATATCTGTTCGTCCTCAACTCTAATGATAATGGTAATATTCGCGTTTTCCTTACAAGGAAAGACCTGGTCTCATTGACCTAATAGCTAATAGCTAATACTACTCAAGTTGTGCTTTTCTTCACTTCCTGGTAATCGAGCTGGGACCAAAGTGTTGTAACTGTACATGGCACCAAACCCGTTCGGAAACATGTTCTCCAAATCTCACTGCAATGGTAATATTAGCAGTTTTTTTTTATGTGAAACGTTCGACATTCATTGACCGTGCAGCTAGTACGACTTGAGTTGTACTTTTCTTCACACCTTTGTAATCGGGCTGCGTTCAGAGTGTAGTATCTGATCTCCTCATCTGTAATGGTAATTGTAATAATAGCTATTTCCTTGTAAGAAAACATTTGGCATTCATTAACTGAGCAGACAGTACATCTATCGGTTGAAATTTATCAAATCTTTCACTTAAAACAATTTTTCCAGGAAAATAGATTTCTCATGTCCAGTAGCTGTTATCGCTCTTTCCAGTATTAATGGTGGTTTCCTTCCTAACCTTTTGTTTGAAGTACTGTTGAATATCAACGTCTTGTTTATGTCATTATTTTCTCTTCGAGTTACATGTGCTATCCATTTTAGTTGTTGCTGCTCTTGGAAGTCTTCAAGTGATGTGGTTTCTGTTCTGTGATACAGTTCTTTGTGATTCTGTAGCGCCAGTCTACAATATTCAAAGAAGTAGGGTCTTCACCAAGATCCACTTCACTCACTCAAAGCCATTTTTAATCATTGATCTTAGGAAGCGGTTGTATACAACTGACAGTTTAGATATTTCCGAACGGGTTTGGTGCCATGTATGACATCCATATGAAAGTCTCAATCTGATGAGACTATTTAAGAACAAGAAGACCTCAGATAAGTAACTATAAGCAGTTTAGGATTTTAATAATAATAATAATAATAATAATAATAATGAGGGTTTCGCCATGATCCTCCGCCTTCATTCACTCAAAGCCATTTTTAATCATTGATCTTAGGAAGCGGTTGTATACAACTGACAGTTTAGATATTTCCGAACGGGTTTGGTGCCATGTATGACATCCATATGAAAGTCTCAATCTGATGAGACTATTTAAGAACAAGAAGACCTCAGATAAGTAACTATAAGCAGTTTAGGATTTTAATAATAATAATAATGAGGGTTTCGCCATGATCCTCCGCCTTCATTCACTCAAAGCCATTTTTAATCATTGATCTAACATAACAATCCGAATAATGCAAATAATGCAAATAAAAAATTGCTATTATTAACATCAGCATCACCAGGACTTTTAATTTTTTTTCCCACGACATCGTTCTGTTCACTTTGGTTCTTCTTCTTTTTACGTGGGCTTCTTCTGTGAGAAGCAGCCCAGCTCATCCAGTGATGACACCCACCAAAATAGCTTTCCCTTCTGGTTTTTCGAAATTTTGTCACTTTTCTTGTCGAAATTTTTACACATTTCTTCTTCAAGTCTTCACACTTTCTGAAATTTTCTGCTCACCTGTCTTATATAAAGCTCAAGACGGATCACAACGTTTTTTTTTTTTTAATTTAGGTGGGCAGAAGTCACCTTCCTGATTGGTCGAAAAATAAAAAGGTATATATCTATTTCAAATTTGAAAAAGAAATCACAAACTAATCCGCCGTGACCGAATTAATTTTGGCGATTCTTTTTGAGCAAATTCTATTTTTACAAAATTTAATTTAACTGAAAAAAAAAAAAAATTAATTAAATTTCATGTCAAATTTAATTTTTATTAACCTATAGCGGTGTGGGGCTTCGGCGTTGAAAGGAACAGTTGATTTACCGACGCCATGAATATTAATGAAGAACGATAGTGACGATGAAATACACAGGTAAATTTAACAAAACAAGACAAGGAATTTATTCGCGAATTTACACGCTTGAAGTAATGTCGATAGCTCGTTTTAGGAAAATAAATAAGACGACTTAAAGTTTGTAGTTTTAAAGTATTGTCAAGAAGAGGAATTGTTCATACAACAGATTAAACAATCTGACACAAAATAATATTCAAGACAAATGAGAGGATAATATGGTTAACATACCTTCAAAATAGACGAAGAGACGATAGTTTGTATCACTTAGCTTTCCTGGATTGTTAACAGAAAATTCTTTGAAGTGCTGCGTGCTGGCCAATAATATTATTGCGGAGTATTTTTACATTGGCGGGAACTTCAATGCTGGTTGCGAGCAACTGAAACGAAACCTTCCACATGACTTCAAACATACTTCTTTGATTAATTTCATTTTTCTCCTTATTTTATATCAAAAGGAATTTCACGTCGACTCGCGAATTTATTTCCTTCTTCTTAGCTGCATTCAGGTCTTCGCCCCAAGAAGAAAAATGACGATATCTCTGGGCATGTTTTTCAGCTGACACGGTCGTTCCGATCAAATCGTGAAATGAAAGTTGTCCTGAACGGACACTCGTCTACATCCTTTCGGACTAACGCTGGTGTCCTCCAGGGCTCCATCCTTGGTCCTACGCTGTTTTTAATAGTCCTTAACAACCTTCCCGATGACATCAGCTCTCAACTTGGCATCTAAGCTGACGACATTGCCATTTACTCCTACCTCAATAGTAGGGAGGATCAGTCAGACAGGGTCAAAATGGCAGCAGATATACAAAACGACCTCAAGGCCGTCGTTAACTGGAGTAAAATATGGCTTGTCGACTTTAACGCCTCCAAAAACTAAACTTCTTTCCATTAATCATCTGAGAGACCCCTTTTTGCCTTCCATCAGTATGGCTGATGCTATTCTCCAAGAAAGTAAAAAAAATTGCGCCTTTTCAGGCTAACTTTCCCAGCTGAAATAAGGTGGAAATACTACATTGAATCTATTGCTAGATCAGTTGCTAAGAAAGTCGGTTCCCTGTGTCGAACAAGACAATTTTTCTCTCTGGAATCTATCTTGCATATCTATAAGTCTACCATTCGTCCATGCTTAGAATATTGCTGCCACATATGGTCCGATGTCCCTGCTATTTTTCTGGGGCTCATTGATAAGATCCAAAGAAGAATCAGCAATATTATTGGTCCTTATCTGGCGGCTCGACTTCAGTCACTTGCCCACAACCGTAAGGTTGCTTCTCTGTGCCCTTTTTATAAATGCTTTCATGGTAACTGTTCGGATAATCTCTTCGCTACGCGGTACCTAGACGTCATGAATTTAAGCGCAATACCAGAAAGCCGGCGGGATCTCATCAATTTACAGTTGAGCTAGCTAGATCTAACCGTAACTTCTATGCTAACAGGTTCTTCTTTCGCACTTCTCGTTTGTCGAACTCCCTCTCGGTTCCATGCTTTCCAACCAACTTTAATCTGCAGAAATTTAAATGCAATGTCAATCGCAATCTACTGTCCTCCTGATGGCTCTTTTCTCTTTCCCCCAATTACTAATGTTTCTGTTCCTAATTCCTCCACGCACTGTAACCCCTTTCGTATTAGTGACTTAAATTACTTTTTTTTTTTTTAAATCCTTTATTTAATTTACATTATTTTATATATAAATGTTTATATTTTGCCTTCAAGAGAAAGAGCAATAAACAAACTTGTGTTTAGCATTCTGTTTCCATTTAATAGTTTCTTTCAACTGCAAATTTTGTGCAGAAAGTAGATCACAGAGCATTGGTATTTCTCTAATTCCTGATTGGTCAATTAATGCCAACATCATGCTTTCGCACGGTTAAAATTAATTTACCGCCCAAACCTGTCTATGATTCTAGAGCCAGCCTTCTCCCACATACAAAATGTAGCTGTGGAGAAATCGCGTTTGTCCCTCAGGGGAAAACGCTATGAAATGTCATCACACACATACAAACACACACACACAAACACACACACACACACTCTCGCGCGCGCACACATCTACGAACATTGCACATCTCTGAACTCATCTTATTCACTCCTTCAACTACATGAACACAGAAACTTATCAACTTCTAACAGTGAGATTTTCTTCAGTAACAAACATGCCGTCCGAGAGAATACAAATTTCGACTCTTAACAATTTTTACCAGTGAGAAATTTTACGTCAAATCTTCTGGAGCGGAACACACTCACTCAATTCATTTCAATCGATGCCATTCCTCTTCGGTGAACGAATTTGAGCGGCAAGATATTTCAATATATTTATGCTGATTTTCAACTTGAAGTTTAAAACTAAAAACTACATTTTTAGTACCAAATACAACTTTTCGATATTCAAATGAAGATTACATTTTCTCTCAATCAACAAATTTCTTTAATTCATCTAACACCGATTTTCAGCCTACAACACCTTCTTATCAAAGGACATTCTCTCCATTGAAACGTACTATTATTTCTTGAACTGAAATCTTTTTTCTGTGAGTCCAGATAAAAATATATATCTTCCTTAAAGCTTTAGTAACCCTCATTTCAATTTTCAAACATTTTCTTGAATTTCATTGGTTGTAAAATAAAAATAAGCTTCGAGAAAATTCCATAACGAAACAGTCAAAAAATTTCATATCGCGCTCTCACTCCAGGGGGTCCGCTACAAGGCTATCTTGTCCCAAAAAAACACCACTTCTGCGGCTGCAGTATACATGGTGACCGTACGGGTCACGACACACACACACACACACACACATATTGTACGATACATTTGTTGCGGAGTGATAAGTTTGTTCGAATATATTTTTGATCAGTAGGATATTTTTAGTTTGGCTGCCTGAACAAAATTAACATCTCCACAAATAGATTATTTGCATGGCATGGCACAAGGCTGTCAAAACCAAAATATATAACAACAATGTTTTCTAGAAATAACTAAACATTTTTATATCAACAATAAAACTGAAGAATTCAGGTAATTTAAACTGAATTGCAAATTGTTTTAAATTGATTAAAACAAGTCGCGTTGATATGGGATTATGGTTAGTGAAGTAGTCTGTTTGCCCATTACAGCTGTGTGGCGCTTTCGATCCTCACTAGGTGCCCTATAGTTGTGAGCCTTCTATCGAAACTAAACTATGCTTTATAAAATCAGCTGAGGCTGTAACAAACAGGGAGAGAAAAGGAGTTAGGAAAGTCGACGGGTTAAACTAGAGTAGTCTCCCTTATTTGTGTGTAACTCTTTGCAAAAGAAATCACTTTCAGTCACTTCATTCGGAGTGTTGTTATTGAGAATAGTTGTTCGTCGTCAGTTGCTTTCGGACTGAGAGGTAAGTCGTCATTTAATGCTTGTTTATATGCTTTGTCGGGATTTGTTTTTAAAGCACGTCCTTTTTTATTTTAAGCGGGAATTATTTTCGTGTCAGAGCTTCCTTAATAATTATGATGAATAAAAATGGTGTTACTTGTGAAATTACCCTTTCTTCGTTATTATTCCGAAAATTTTCTTGTTTATTTTTATTTTAAGTCGAAGAAGGAAAGAATGTTCCTAATACATTTGGTTTTTAAATTATTTTTCTTTTGTTTTCATTTTATATTTTTAAATCTCAAAATAAAAGAAAGCAAAATAAAAAAAAGGGTAAGGTGAAAAAAAATCATCTAAAATAAAAAACACCTGTTTTCTTTTTTTTAAATCTTTGATTTTAAAAAAATACAAAATAAAATTAAACTATATTTTACTTGAAATTTCTATATTTTTTAAATCAATAAAAGCTAATTTATTTTTTATTAACCTTCAAAAACGGCTATTTAAAGGAATAATCTTTATAAAAGAGAAAAATGAATTAAAGATTTGTTTGATTTTTTTTTTTTTTTTTTTTCCCCAGAGTTTTGATAATTTCGAAAGAGACTTAGTCCCGATCCTCACTTGTGTGTGTAAACACAAACAAATAATTGAATGCCAATGAAAATCGTAATACATTTTTACGCGGAAAATAGGTGAGGGTCAGGAGTTGTCAACAAACAATTAACCCAGTTAAGGTTTAATTAAAATATTTTCTTCTTTCGAATCATTTTGTTGTTCTTGTAGTGAATGGAGAGAGTGCATATTATTATTAGTTTGTTTGCTTTTTTAACTGACATCAGTTGTCTCAGTCATTCTGCAAATAACGTTAGTTATTTTTTAGGGTTTAAATCCTGCCAACAAATGTTAATTTGTTTTTTTCTTTATTTACACACTAGTGTAATTATTTTCCTGAATAATTTTTTGAACGTTTCTTTGATATCCAAAGGATTTCCATATAGTTGTATGGATATGAGTTTGTGATCCTGAGTTTCATGCTTTTTTGCGATCATCAGACAAGCTCAGGGTCACAAACTCTTCTATGCAACTGTACTGATATTGAGCGCTTTCCACTAAGTACTGCACATAGAAAATATTAATTTTTTAAAATTAAGTAAATAAAAAAAATCATATTTGACATTTTTTACAGTATGGA